CTCCAAACCCTGGCACCCCACATGCTCCACTGTCCCACAGGACTTCACTTACAAAACACAAATTCAGGGCCGCCTGGGTGGCTCAGTCGTTAAGCGTCTGCCTTCTGCTCAGGTCATGATCCCGGGATCCTGCGATCGAGCCCCGCATCGGGCTCCCTGCTCAGCCAGGAGCCTGCTTCTCCCTCTCCTGCTCCCTCTGCTTGTGTTCCCTCTCTCGCTGTGTCTCTCTCTGTCAAATAAACAAATAAAAATCTTTTAAAAACCCACACAAATTCAAAACTAAAATTATTAAGAATGTCAGTGTGACAACAGCAGAACATTAAGCCCCAGTCAGGGCCCTTCGGAGCACAGGGCTGGTGTGAAGTCACTAACCAGACACCCGTGGAACCCTCTGGGGGTGCAGTCTCCAAACATGCTCCCCGAGGAGGTCCTCCAGGGGTGACACTCACCAAATTCTCTTAAAGCCCCTGGCTCATCAGCTTACAGCCAGAGCTGAAATTCAGAGCTGAAAATATGGGTCCCAGCATAGCTCCATTTTCTTTATACTTATTTATATGTTTCATCTGTTTTTGACTTTCTACATAAATGGGTTTTGCTGGCTTAGTGGAGAATAAATTCCCAGCGGGTATGGACTGTATCTTTCACAGTAGAATTTTAAAAGTCTGCACACCCCGAATTCATACTTTGGGTCCAAAACTTAACCCGGCAGAAGTGAAGGGAAAAAAATCATCCACTGACAGGCTCTTAAATGTTTTGAGTCCTCTTCATGCAGAGTTTTCTAGACCATAATTAACCCTTTTCATAGACCTTTGAAATGGGCAGCTTTGGGTTTTGATTGCATTGGTTTACAGAAAGTTTTGACAACTCCAAACCTCCAGCACATCTGCTGATTTCCCAGCGGCACTAGGACCCTGGTGGCTGTTCCTTTGACTTCTGACCCCCCTCCCCCCCCAACCCCCCCACCGCCCCGTATCTATATCCACAAATCTCCCCCACACCCTCCTCAGTCTCAGGGCAGAGCCCCTAGCAGCTTCTCAAATACCACCATTCTCTCAGCCATCCTCAAAAGCATTTTAAAAGCATCAATCGAATTCTGTGGTAAGTAAATTATGGAATAAAATAAACCCGACGTTGTTTACCCAACGCCCGGCTCTTCTCTGGCATTTGACCTTCGATTGTCCGAGCTTTCAAAGACAATGAACTTGACAGAGAACTTTTATCATTTGAAATACGACATCACGTTGCGGAGAGCGCATTTGGAATACTGTTAAGACAAAATACATTCATTTCCTGCCTTGTAAAAGTCATTTGAGCTCAGCAATATTATACATATTTTCTGGGAATTCGTTTAATGAACATCAATGTGGTCACGAAGTGCTTGATACTATTTTGTAAAATCATCATGGAAGTAGGGTGCCCTCCTTCACTTATATATCCGCTCATAATTTAGAACCGAAGAGGGTCGTACAACCTCGGGGAGCTCTTCCCTCATATGATGTTTCTCTGTCATGGTGTGTGTCACTCAGGTGTAGCCACCCAGTTTCTCTGAACTTCAGTTTCCTTATCTGTAAAACAAAGGTAAGACTTACACATCCTGCAGTTATTTTCAGGATCTAAGCAAAAAATACAGTGAAGGCACACCCTAAACTCTAAAGCCCACTTCAAATGTAAATGATTCTCCTTGCCCAAGGTCACACAGGGTGTTTCCATCCAACTAGATCAGATCTGAAGAGCCTGACTCCAGGTCCCATGCTCTTGACACTATGTTTACAGAGATCCTGAGCCACGAAGAGAGAAGTTCCTTATCACCCACCGCTCCTTCTATCCGTCTGTTTATCCATTGTCCGTCCATCCATCATCCAGCCATCCAGCCATCCATCCATTCATCGGTCTGACCCACAAATACGTACTGAATGTTCCTGCTCTCATGGGCCTTACCACGTAAGTAAATCTATCAATCTTGGAGAGTGATACATGAAGATACAATATGGACATATGAAGAAAAATAAATGGGGGTGAAGGAATACAGTGGGGTGCAGGTACAATGTTAAATAGGAGAGCAGAGAAGGCCTCAGTGAGTAAGTAATATTTGGGCAATGACCTGAAGGGGGTGAGGGAGTAAGCCATGCATGTGTCCACAGGAAGAATGTTCCATGCAGAGAAACAGCATGAGCAAAAGCTGAGAGTGTCCTATGTGAGATGGAAGGGTAGCTAGCTAGGAGGCCTAAGAGAGCAACTCCATCAGTCTGTCTATGAGATCAGAAACCTCCGATATTTACCCACATTGCTTATTCCGGGTGCCCTGGCAAACAGAGCTTGAGGCAAGGCTGAAATGCTAATGCTTTCATGGGAGGGATAATCCAGGGCAGCCAACGTGAGGACAGAGAAGCGTGAGATTCAAACGTGAGATGATACCCTGTGGCACTGGCTTCCCAACAAACTGCAGGAGAGACACGGTTGGCTCTTTCAGGGGCACCCACTTGGCCCCGTGGCTAAGGGGGAAGGAAGAACCGTGCCTCATTGCAGTCCAGCAGAGGGGACACAAACAGGGAACTTACCTGTTGACTCTCTGCCACTTCCCATCTCCCCACTGGTCCAAGTTTGTCCCACAGACATTAACCTCCCTGCACTTCTGCACACAAAATCATATGAAATCTGTGCATTTTATTATATGTAAAAATGAGAGTATTTATCACAAACAAAAACAAAAAACAGAGTCTGTTTCTTCAGCCTAGGTCCACATAGGAAGTTGATGTACAGCAGAGCTAGCGAGGAAGAAACTTTTGTTGGTAGAAGCCATCGAGCTTTTAGGGTCAGTTTTTATTGCAGTATAACCTAGCCTCTCTCGACCCATGCAGGGATTCACTACCCCATCAGCATATTCAAGGAGAGAAGTTTTCCAGTAACGAAATCTGTTTGACATTATTAAATCCAGTGTTTCTCCAACTATTTTGACTATTGAATCCGCTTTTCACAGATCACCTTAATATTATGGACGTAGTCCAACAAAACACAATCTGTATTATCCTATTCAAGGAGATTGGGAAGCACACTCTTTTCTAGAATAATTAAAATCTTCCTGGCTCTTAGCAGTTTGGGGTACAAATGATGTCACGTGAACATTTATGCCCAAATTATGGGCTCCTAGTACATCACTAACCTCCCCCCCACCAATCCTTCTAATGTCCCCGGGACTTCACAGGACAAGTGTCTTACAGGTATTCAAGAAAGGCCCACATTCTTTTGAGCCGTCCTTGCTGTCAAGTACCTAGTTCCTGACAGTTGCCAAGTAGGCACCTGTTTCTCTTCTGTGAACTGTCATTCTCCATTAGTGGCCACTCCAGACCCTTCAGTGCAGAGTAGGGGTGGAGGAGCATGACCCCTTCTTGGGCCCACCATGACAGAGAGTCTCTGATGAACGGAGTCCCTTCAGCTTTAGGCCCTGACCACTTTATTTCTAGGTTCTCAGACACTCTTCAGATCAGGCATAGGGCAGATACCAGGGGTTTTTCTCCTCTTTTTGCCCCCAAATGAAAGGCACTTCAAGTCAACTCAAGTAAGACCAGGATGGCAGGAATCGGTGGGTCTATTGACACTGACTCCTGGTTTGGGACTCAGCAGGGACACCTTGCTTCATATGAGGACCCTTCATGCCTTCTCTGTAGCTCCTCAGTAAGTCCAGTCTACAGGAATGATGGGAGTTGAAAGCCACAACTCTGTTGTCATAAGGGCATTGAAAGTTGGTGATGGTTCTCATATCCAACTTGAGAGCACCAAACCACTAGGCTGAGGTGGTGAACAATGTTCCTGGGCAATAGCTCAGAAGGGAGCAAGGGCTTTTTATAGTATTTGAGTATCCAGACTCATCTATAGGGAAATCTCTGATCTTCCTCCCACCACAGAAGTCATGTTGGAATTCTCAGCTTCAGTCCCACTAAGGTCCTTGTGGGAAAGAAAGACTTCAGGTGGGTAGTGATGAGTCTATGGCGGAGATAGAGGGATATGGACAGGAGAGGTGATGGGGAGGATGAGGGGGGAATAAATCTGATTCTGAAAACAGCTTGAGATTTAAAATGCAACTGGAAATCAGACCTGGAGGCAAATTCACTAAATGACTGATGAGTGAATTCAGTAATTAAATCAATCTAGTTCCTTTTAATATGATTTTCCCCAGAGTATAATCAACGAAACTCTAAAAAACGTGTTTGCCAAAGCTATCTCCTATTTGATTATCCCTAAATCTGTGCCGTGCACAGAGGAGGAGAAGGAAGACAGAGGCTTTGACTGCATGGCTTCTATTCGTCCAGTGAGGTGGTCAGATTCACGGCCCAGGACAAGGAGGGAACCATTGGCTTGCCTGATACAGACGTGAATTTTGTGGCTGCTTTGATTCTCATTTTTTTTTTTTAAGATTTTATTTATTTACTTGACAGAGAGAGACAGCGAGAGAGGGAACACAAGAAGGGGGAGTGGGAGAGGGAGAAGCAGGCTTCCCGCCGAGGAGGGAGCCCGACATGGGGCTTGATCCCAGGACCCTGGGATCATGACCTGAGCCGAAGGCAGACGCTTAACGACTGAGCCACCCAGGCGCCCCACTGATTATCATTTTTGATCCAGTTTCAAAAGTTCTTCCCTATGGAACTTACTTGAAAGAACTTGGCCCAAGACATCTGGAGTGATGAAAGGTTTTTATAGGCGTGCTTCTTAAGCAAACAAAAGTTACTGCTTTGTCTGGCAAAGCATTGCCTTTGTGACAGTGGATGAGGTCTTCCTCTCTCAAAGGCAGAAGTGGGATAAATGGGGCATTGTGGATTGGGCTATTCCTCTCGGATATGTAGGGGTGGCTGCTTGAGTCTGAGGATGTGCGGGAGTGATGAGAACTCTTAGGGTAAGTCCTTTGCATTGAACCCTTCCCAGAAGGGATTGCCCTTTGGCAGAATGTCACGTGGAGTTGCTTCTCACCCTTGATCTCAATTTCCTCATTGTTGAAGATTTCTACAGAAGAAATCCATCTCCTGCTTTCACTTGCTCTCCACACCCCCTTAAGTGGGTGCTCCAGAAGATGCAGAAGCAAGCCAGCCAAGGACACTTTGTTCTGATGCTTCCTACCAACTGCACCTTCATGCAATACTCATTAGTCACCCTGCCTTTGAACTCCTGTTTGGACGCAAGTATGAGCACACTGAACCCGTCTCATATGCCTGAGTGAGTTGATCATTTTCTCTTATTGTTATTAACTCATCAGGTTGGCATTTGTGATAAGAAGTGGAAAAGCATGGAAGACCTAGAGACATCAGAAAGTTACTCTGATTGCTTGGAATGACTGTTTTCTTTAAATATGCATTGTTTATTTGAAAATATTTACCTAAATCTCCTAACTCTAGATACTATTTGACCACACTTGGTGCCCTTTCAAATTGGTAATTGATAAATAGTATCCATACAGGAAAGTTCAAATTCCAGCTTTATTATTTAATAAGTTAGTTACCTTGGGCACCTTACTTTTCTGTGCCATCTGTAAAATGGGGACAATAAATCATCTACCTCATAGGGTTAGGGATTAAACGAGTTAATGCATATAGAATACTATAAATAGTGCCTGGCGCATAGAACACACTCTGTAAATGTTAGATAGTATTTTCATTCAAATGTATTGAAATTAATTACCACTAGTGCCGTAAGAAGTTTGTGTGTCTTACTGGGAAAAGAAATAGAAAGTTTCAGGGCACGTGGCTGGCTCAGTCAGTAGAGCACACAACTCTTGATCTAGGGGTTGGGAGTTCGAGCCCCACGTTGGGTGTAGAGATTACTTAAGAATAGAATCTTAAGGGAAAAAGAAGAAGTAGAAAGTTTCCCACATAGCCCGGGGAGGCCATTTGATAAGCACCACAAGAGGGTCTCTGTGTAGGAGTGAGGTAGCAGTTGGCATATGGGACCTCAGTCTCCTGCTATGCAAATCAAAGGTAATCCTTGGGAACTTGAATGTGCAAATTAAACCAGAATGTCAGTGCTCTGAAATATTTCTAGAAGAGTGTGAACCATACATAGACACAATGTAAATGACAGATGTTGCTTTTGTTTATTTATTTATTTGGCTAGTGAAGCTAGTAACAGCTCTCCCATTACGTTAGCTGATCTCAGTTGTAGTGAATTTCTTACAAAAAATCTGTAGATTTTTACAGTCTAGCCCTTGGCAAACACTGTTGTAGAGGGGCACCTGGGTGGCTCAGTCGTTAAGCGTCTGCCTTCGGCTCAGGTCATGATCTCAGGGTCCTGGGATCGAGCCCCACATCGGGCTCCCTGCTCCACGGGAAGCCTGCTTCTCCCTCTCCCACTCCCCCTGCTTGTGTTCCCTCTCTAGCTGTCTCTCTCTCTGTGTCAAATAAATAAATAAATAAAATCTTAAAAAACAACAACAACAAAAACACTGTTGTAGAAACTGACATAGATATGGATGTCAGCAACTAAGTCTGGATTCAGTAAATACTCAGTGGAGGAAAAAGAGATGATAAAGAATGATAACAGAGGAGTCACTGTGTAGGAAGTTCAAAGACACGCAAAGCTGGACCTCACTCCAATCTCCAGGTGTGGGCCACGGACTGGAATTTTTTTCATAAAGATTTATTTATTTATTTGAGCAGGGGAGGGGCACAGGGGAAGGGAGAGAGACAAGCAGACTCCGTGCTGATAGCAGAGCCCGATGCCGATGCTGGGGCTCGGTCCCATGACCCTGAGATCACAACCTGAGCCAAAACCAAAAGTCGGACGCTTAAATGACTGTGCCACCCAGGCGCCCCTGGAATTATTTTTCAATGTTAAATGTCAGCAAATACATTTTCTGTGTCCCATCTTCTAGTTTAGTGGAATGCAACTCTGGCTTTATATTAGAATCACCTGGAGAACTTTAAAAACATATGGATGTGCAGAATACAGAAATTCTGATTGAGTTTGTTTGGCAGTAGGGCCCAGATTTTGTTTTTCTTAAGCCCCCCAAGTGATTCTAATGTGCAGCCCGAGTTGGAAAATATTGTTCCTTCTGTCAACAGTGACCATACCGGTGATGCCTTCTGAGCGGTTGTCTCCTCCAGTGTGGTCAGAGGGATGGTCCTGAGAAGTTTCTATGGAATCTGTCTGCTTTGGTCAAGAAAGGCTCCAAACACTGGCTCAACTGGTTTTTATCTGGTACATTTTCTCTCATACCTATAACCTCAGAATATTCCAGTCTATTTTAAGCCCTCCTGTGGTTTCTAAAGCACAATACTTTCCAAACGGAAGACACCATTTCAAATCTCAAGGGCTGTGTTTCAATCTAGAGAAGAGCTAAACAGAACTACCCCAATTTGTAACTGGACATTTTCTTATTGGTGAAAAAAGGTACATAAAAATGCATCAGACTGTAAAGCACTTCATAAAAGAGCAAAATTGTTTCTTATGTTGCTACAACCTGTGGTGCTAACTGCAGGAAGGTAGGAAAGAGCCATGAAATAATCGCTGTATTTGGACAGGGGAACGTGTGAATTTGAATTTCTGGCCCAGCCACTTCTTAGCTGTGGGTCCTTCCCTCTCTGGGCAGATGTGTCATGAAAGAGGGGAGCATCAATAGAGCTCAGAAATTTTGTAGATTAAAGGAGTTAGTGTGCATGGTGCTTGGCAAGGAGTGAGTCCTGAGTAAATGGCAGTTACCCTCCTGTATTAGTCAGCTAATGCTATGATGCTGCTGCATAACAGTCAAGCCCCTCCTCCAATCAGGGTGGCTTACTAAAACGACACTTATTGTTCCCACTCATGTGTCTGCAGGCCAGTTACGGCAGCTCTGCTTAAGGCTATGAATCAGAGTGAGGCCTGTTGCACGTGTGTCTCATTCTGAAATCCACAGCTGCCCAGGGCATGCTCTTCTCAGGGAGATAACAGAAGTACAAGAAAAGTCTGGCAGAAATTTGCAGTGCCTTTTAGCATCTTGGATCAGAACTCATTCATGATCACCTCTGTATGGCCAAACTCAAAGTCAATGGGACAGATAAGCATCATCTACCTAGTGAAGTATAGCACAGGGAAGGGAATAAAAGGAAGAATTGTGAACCAATAATACATTCTACCACACTTCCTTTCTTTTCTGCAGGGTGCTAACAGAGGAGAAAAGAGAGGGAAAGTAAATAGTTGGTTCTCATAGGAACTCTGTCTTGTACCTTATTTGTGAGAGCTTGTCTGGCCTCCTTTGCAGACATGGTCCAGCTTTCACCCAGGGGAAGAAAAGCCATTCTCTGGTACAGCCACTTCCTGACGCCTCCTTGCCTCCAGGTGTGCGTGATGAGGGATACACCATTCAGAAGCAGTCTAGAATTCACCAGAAGCCTTTTCAAATATAGCTTGAGTCAACACATCTAAATTGATTTAGGAAGGAAACAGAAGGAATATACGATGAAATTCAGTGAAACAGACCATACTATATACCAGTTGTCAAAATAGCCAGGTCTTTGTCGTAATTCATCCCCTTCTCTTTACCCTTTTACTATCTCTGTAACGTATAGGCACCATCTCTGAGTATTTGCTCTGAATGACACAATCGCTTTTCCGATATATAATGGTGGTAGGCTAAGAGCCCTTTGTTTGAATTCTAACATTTCATTTGGATTTCAAACCTGGGTGACTAGGCAGCCCCACCTCTCTTATCTAACCAGAGGTTCTGGCCAAACGTGTAGTGTGATTAATAGAGTTACCAGATATGCCCTTGTGCATTCACTAATTGCAGGAGTATTTTAGTGAGTAACTCAAAGGTGTTTAACCAAACATAATTGTTATAATTGAGGATAATTCAGAATGTATTTCAAGATATTGGAGCTGTAGGAAAGTCATCCCCCTGAAGATCTTTGTTGAGGGATATTTAGTAATAGCAGTGTGAGGAGAGGGTGGTGGGCAGGGCTGAGTCGCACCATTACAATCTCAGACAAGCTCCAAAACTGCCATTCTCCAGGAATGGTCCCTGGACCACTAACATCAGAATCACCCGGGGCTGTTTGTTAAAAGTGCAGATTCCCAGGGAAACCCCCAGACTTAATGAATCAGAATCTTTGGGAGCAGAACCCAAGAATCTCCATGTCTATGCATGCCAAGGCTTTTGTATAACATCAGATGTAGACAGACGTCCTGCACATCTTTGATTCCAAATATCGGTTATGGAAAATGTGAGGTTTTATAATACCAGATTAATCACTCTCACAGATGAACGCGGCCAAAGGATTTTTCCCATTATTATTATTACTAAACTTTTTTAAAAACCAAGTTTGTTAAAACTTTCAACCAGGGTGCTACTGTAAGAAGATTTTTGTGGCTTTAAAAACAAAATACACCCTGAACACTAGAAACCATATATTTCATTATGACCTGTATTTTGATAATAAAAGAATCATTTTCCTCCCGTTTTCTCAAATACTGATGGCCTACAAAACTTATATAAACATTTTTGGACGAAAGAAAAGCAAGTTAAGACAAAATTATTGTGAAAGATAGGAGAAGGTTTTATCTGGTTTTAGCACCTTTTTTCTAATGGATAGATGATAAACTGCCTTTTTATAGTGTTTTAGGTATAAGAATTATCTACAATGAAGGTAGTATGACCACCTAAGTCAGAATTATCTTTCGTTTTCCACCTGGTAAATGCATTTTTATATTTTTCTCTGTGTGCATGAGATCATAAAAAGCATTAACTGCTCCAATAAATGAATGAAACGGGAGGATGACTTTGAGCGCTGAGAGAAATCTAGAAACCACAAGTAAGAACAACTCAGACTCCTTTCTCCCTTTTCTACCTTCTTCCAACTCCTGTTGATTATATTTAAGTTTCAAGGCCTTCATCCTGATGGCTTCCCACTTCCAACTGTGTGGAAAATGAATTTGAACTGTTTGGAAGATTCTGAAATCTTCTTACTGTAATCACTGAACACAAAGATGCAAAAAGGTGTGGGAACATCTGTTTCCCAGATTAAGAATGTTACTGGGATATTGAAAAAAACTCTCTTCCGTTATCACACCTTTAATCCAATTAGCAAATATAAGTCATTCTAAAAGACTCTGGTAACCATTCCTCAGAGAGGGAACAATCTAGAAAAGAAATGCAAAAGAGACATTTTCAGCACCTTCCGTGGAATTTCAGGACTAATTTCGGAACTACAATAGGAAAGATCATGATAAGGCTCATGCATTTAAGCCTTTTATATGCTTGGGCTTGGAGGTTTTTTATTTCATTTTATGACAAGTAAAGATATTTTCTGAGTAGCAAGGGAAAAATCATGTTACCTCCAAAGTGATTTCAAGGGAAAAAAAGATCTTCCCTGACCAACGAGGCTGAAATGTCATGGAGTCAAATATGTTCATCAAGCACTTACTGCTATTTTGAACTTTCTTAAACTATTTGCCTCAACGTATCCTCTAGCATTTTTCAGAGAGGTCAAGGGTTTAAGAGGCCCTGGGGTTTAAGCTAACATTTCTTGGTTTACAAACAGATCTCATGTCAAAGGTTGAGTATGCTCTAGCTGAACGTAAAAGGGCCCCATCTGTTCGGCTACCCAGTGATTTCACTTGCAGCATCCAGCAAATTGGGATATTATTACAGTGCTCCTGAACTAAGGATCTGATTGTAACCTGATTCTATTTTCTTTCAGTAGCAAGTAATACTCTGAAAATAGAATGAGTACCAATAAAATGACACTGGAACATTCAGACAGGCAACAAACTGCTTTTATGGTAAAAGGTATGGAGAATCATTTCTGGTTTTGGTACACATCTCCACATAACTAAACTTCAGATTTCTCCACCAGCATCTTGATGCTTCTTTCTTTCTTTCTTTCTTTCTTTCTTTCTTTCTTTCTTTCTTTCTTTCTTTCTTTCTTTCTTTCTTTCTTTCTTTCTTTCTTTCAGATTTATTTATTTGGGAGAGAGAGAGAGAGCACAGGGGAGAGGGGCAGAGAGAGAAGGAGAGAGAGAATCTCATGCAGAGTCCCCGCTGAGCGCAGAGGCCAAAGGTCAGGTCCCCGAGAAAATGACCTCAACCAAAATCAAGAGTCGGATGCGTAACTGACTGAGCTACCCAGGCGCCCCGATACCTTTTTCTAAAACGAATCCTGCATCTTGAAATTGGACTACACGGATACTTTAATCAGAAGAGTGAAAGATTTTACCCTAATTTATTCATTTTACTAAAGCCACTGCCCGAAGGACTCTGGACTTGTGTGTACAATTGTGACTAGAATAAATAGGGCACAACTCCTAACACACGTAATACGCTCTTGATCAATATTTGTTGAATAAATGGAAAAAAAAGGAAAGAAGTTTTAGACTGGTCTAGGGCAGCAATTTGCACGCACACATGCACACACACACACACACACAAGACATATAACACAGACACAAACTTTCTTTGGCCATTGTGGGAATGAACCAGAAATCTTTAAGATGTAAAGCCAAGTTCTAAATAGGGACGCCTCAGGTGATATGTAATTACTACGACAGCATTTCGAAAACCCCCTGTGGCTGGCTCTCTGAATCTACTGGAGCACCTGTCCTCATCCGTCCTTACGGTGAGCCGCAGATGCTTGGTCTCTGGTGTAAAATCTTTGTCAAATCTTTGAGGGCAGAAACCTTGTCTTACATCATCTTTTAAGTTTTCACAGCACCTAAGTCGGGGCAGTGGCGCTACGTACGCTTGAACATTGGTTGACCTGTACCGCATAGGGTTTTAGAAAACCAGACACTAAAAATAAAATCCAGCGTTGGGGCTCCTGGGTGGCTCAGTTGGTTGGGTGACTGCTTTCGGCTCAGGTCATGATCCCGGAGTCCCGGGATCAAGTCCCACGTCAGGCTCCCTGCTCAGCAGGGAGTCTGCTTCTCCCTCTGACCCTCCTCCCTCTCATGCTCTCTGTCTCTCATTCTCTCTCTCGCAAATAAATAAAATCTTAAAAAAAAAAAAAAATCCAGCATTGTAGTGCATTAGTGTAGTTTACAGCAAGTATCACTGTGTGTGTGTTCCGTGTGGGGCATTGAGCTTTGCAAAGCATTTTCATCACTTCTGTTCTTGCTTAAGCCCTCATGGGCTGGGAGGGTGGGTAAAAACAATACAGTTGCTGAAGATAAAATAAAACAACAACAACAAAAACAATACCTTTGCTATGCTCTGATGTTGTAGGCACACATGACTGTCTTGTCGCATCACCCAACCATGGCACTGACTTAATGCAGACAATTGATCAGCTGGTTTCAGAATCACATGGACAGAACCTAGTAGTAGGTTATGTTGCAATGATCCACATTGGGCATTTTGCAGTTATTTGAGCTGAACAGGACTAAAACAATAGGTAACTTTTATCGAGCACTTTTATTGTGCCAGCTAGTATTCCTTCAGACGCCCCCTACAAAGATGGTACTTTTATTATCCCCGTTTTTCAGGTGAGGAAACTGAGGTTAAGTGACTTAAGTCATCTTAAGTCAAGGTCAGATAGGGATGAAGCAATGCTAGGATCTGAAACCAGGTGATGTGGTACCTCAAGTTTCTCTATCTAAGGTAAAGTAGCAAAAAGGGAGCTACTAGTTTTTGTTTTTTAATAAAAGTAAGGCAAATGGTGAACTATGAAATTACAACTCAAAGAAAGTCAGGGGCGCCTGGGTGGCTCAGTCAGTTAAGCGTCTGACTCTTCAGCCCAGGTCTTATCTCAGGGTTGTGAGTTTGAGCCCCGCATCGTGCTCCACGCTGGGTGTGGAGCCCGTTTAAAAACAAAAACAAAACAAAGTCACCTACAGATCTCCTTTATTAGAGTAATGAAAAAACTAAGTGTTCTAGACCTGCCAAGACATTGGAGTGACTTAGATAAAAATTGTGAAGTTGTAGTATTTCTCTCTTGGGTCTACAAGATTTTGGCAAATAAATATAATCTGAGAGAGATTCAGTGGGAATCATTTGCTTTTCCCCTCTCTGCAGACCCCACATTCTTCAAGTGACAAGAAAGACCTAAAAGGGAGCATATTCTATGAAACTAAATAGTCACACTGAGTGTGGCCACTCCTCTGGGAATAGCCTGAAACTCTCCAGTGAATAGCAAAGGGAATTTTCCTCTCGCCTTGTTGTCTTCCGCCAGCTGATGCCCTATCCCCAGTCTCTCTTAGCCAGTGGGCTTCTTGGAGCTGGATGGAGCATCCTTAAAGAAATGGGGTTCCTTTACCTCACTACTTCCAATTATTAATATTAATCAGCAAGTTTGGGAAGGTTTCTAGAGTCTGTAAAACATGGGCCAATTATAAGGGAGAGATTGAGAGAAAGACGGATGGACAGAGAGTGAGAGAGAGAAGGTACGAAATGACCCTGAAAGTCCTTGGGAGTGTATTGCCATTAGAAAGGCTTTTAAAAACCAATCACTAATTCAATATGATTAATTCTTTTAAAGCAGCGTGTAGAGTGTTTCCTGAGCAGCATTGGAGGTCACTTCAAACAAAGCAAATAAACCACAGCTAATGTGCTGACACTTTAAAGAGAAAAAACAATTGCTAAAAATGTCCATCCAATTTCCGTTACTTACTCCAATCATTAGAAACAGGGAATGTGTTTATTGATGTAAAGTGGCTCAATCAGTATTTTCTTTATTCAAACGGATTTAGCTGGAGGGAAATTCAAGCGTTTGCCTCACAAGAGAGAAAGAGGAAGAGAGAACTATTCTTCAGGTGAGAAGCTGTTTATCTCAACCCTACAAGGGGCTCGCCGAAGAAGGATAACCAGTGCCCAGTGCGGTACTGAAAGCAAAGCCAGTTTGCCTCTCATCACCATTAGTGTAGTTTTAGGTCCCTGAGACTCAAAGTAGGTCTGGAATTAGCAACATCAGCATCATCGGGACACACGTTCGAAATGCAGACTCTCAGGCCCCACCACAGACCTAACTGAATCCGAATCTGCACTTTAACAAGACGTTCCATGATCCATATCCATATTAGTGTTTGAGAAACACTAGTCGAGGCCTGTTAACCGTTCGATAACACGAATGGTTATTGAAACATTTGATAGAGAAGAGAGCTGGTTAAGAAAAGGAGAAAATGCTACGTGATGAAAGCACCGTTCTTTAAAGATGTATTGGTGGTGATAAACTTGCTCCCTGTCCACTAATCCAGCCTTGAAGTAAAAACTCAAGGGGCCCTATGGCCACAGGGCCCAACATATGAACACAAAAGCCGAGTGTGAGCTTGTTAAGTGATATCTGAAATGCCAGTTGGAGGCGGACTTCAAAGGACAAATCTTAATCTAATTACTACACAGAAATGATTTTAAAGCATTTTTAATGGCTAAGGTTACCAGCCACACAGAGCTTGCCAAGGTGGTACAGAACTCTAAGGACCAAGATGCATTTGGTCTTGGAGGGACAGAGTTTGGGGAAATTCAGCTAGCGTAAACAGTGAGTTTCTGTTGGGGTTGGCAAAGATGCCATCTCGGAAGACTGATGTGGAACATCTGGACCAGGTTTGGCAGCCACTGCGCACAACTGTTTTCGGGGAAAGGCTGTGTGAAAACGTTCACACCCACAGCATAATTGGGAAAATTTCCCTTCACTCGTCTTTGTTTGATATCAAGTGGACTCATTTCATTTCTCTCTTTGGATAGTTTTATTCAACTGTCTTGTAAGAGAAAAATTGTTTTTCCCACCCTTCCACGTGTGCTCCCCCGAAAATTTAATTGCTTATTCCGAGGCTCTATCTGGAATTGGCATGAAGAGACTCATCCCGCAGAATGAAGCAGGGCAGGCACTGGCTGAGGCTACAGAAATAATGGGCTAAAACAGACAAAGGAGGGGCACCTGGGTGGCTCAGTCCGTTAAGCGTGGGACTCTTGATTTCACCTGGGGTCATGATCTCAGGATCATGAGATGGAGCTCAGTGACACTCAGTGGGGAGTCTGCTGGAGATTCTCTTCCTCGCCCCGCCCCACTTCTTGCTAGCGCGTGCGCACACACGTGCTCTCCTTCTCTCAAAATAAATAAATCTTTTAAAAAATAATAAAAATTTAAAAATTAAAAATAGACAAAGGACCCATATCTCTAACCCATCAGATGATCATACAGGCTTGCCAGCTAGAAAATCTTCACAGGGGACCACTTTTGCCTCTGGCAAACTCAGCCCAAATCTCTGTTTAGCAAATTCACCTTAATTTTTTTTTTTTTTTATGAAAGAGAAAGTGTGCGTGTTTTAAAACCAAGAAAAAAAAAATATTGGAGCGCCTGGGTGGCTCAGTCATTAAGCGTCTGCCTTCGGCTCAGGTCATGATCCCAGGGTCCTGGGATCGAGCCCCACATCGGGCTCCCTGCTCAGCGGGGAGTCTGCTTCTCCCTCTCCCACTCCCCCTGCTTATGTTCCCTCTCTCGCTGTGTCTCTCTCTGTCACATAAATAAATAAAATCTTTAAAAAAAAAAAATATTTTCCTTCCCTGAAGCAAACCCACATTTTGTTCTTTGGAAAACACTGAGCACTTTCATTTAAAAATTCCTGACTGTAGCGATACTTTGCTTGTTTTAACAGGTCATCTTAGAACAAGGGTTTAAATAAAATGATCTACCCAAGTCAATACTTTTTTTTAATGCTGAAACTGGTATCGAGTTTTGCCCGGCTGATGGAGCCGGGCTTGAGAAATACAAAACTTTCATTCTAGTTAAGGGACAGCCTTGAAGACACAAACAAAAACTGCCTCAAGGCAATTCATCGGCCTACCTGG